TGTTCATCCACGATGTGGAGGCTGCTGTCCCAGGCACAGCTGCAGCAATGGCCGGTGTGTTGGGGCGGCCGGGATATCGAGTGCGGATGAACTTCGGCAGCAGGAGGTGAGGACTGTTACGTCCGTGGTTTTGGTTATGATCCTTGCCCAGCCGGGCAATAGGGAGCCCGTGGAGGTTAACAAACGAGGCAGGGATGTCCGATTATGAATGTCTGCAGCTTCGGGTCTGGAATCGAGCTTCGGAACAGGCGTGGAAGCCGACCCCTCCCAGAAATAGTGAAGGTAAGGTGGGCCTCAGAGCAGGAGGCAGCGGAGCCGGGGGCAGATGCAGCCCCGCCACGCCCCCGTCCTGCACTGCTGAGGGGGCTGCAGGCAGGTGTGGCGATCCCTGAGGAGTGGGGCAGGCCGCTCACCGAGCGGGGGCTGTGTGCGTGTGCACACGTGTGCATGCCCTGTGCATGTGTATCTGTTGTGGGTACATGTGTGCACGTGGTACAAGTGCATGTGATGCGCACATGTGTGTGTCGAGACCCGTGCCTTCCTGTGCGCCCTTGTTTTCCGCTGTCACAATGAGAGATGCGCACAGGCCTGGCGGTCTCTGGCCCGGGGCCGAGGAATTCTTTATTTCCATGGCCTTCCACGGTGATTAAGTCTCCAAACTTTCCCTTAACCATCATTTCTTCAAAATGAAAAACCAAATTGCATCTCCAAGCAGCTTGGAAATCGATTTCTTTCAAAATGAAGTTTTGGAGAAGCGATTCCAAAGAGAAATAAGAGGAAGAAGGTGGGAGGGTGCTTGGGGTGGGGACAGAGCAGCTGCCAGGGCCTCTGAGGACCGCAGGGGGTGGGGAGGGGCCCCCACTGGGCTGGTGGCTCCTCCAGCCTCAGCCAGGACAATCTCACCCCACCCCCATGCCCGCTGGCCCCTCGGTGACGACCTTTCACGGGCCTGGTGTGGGGACCCAGGAAGGTGCCCAGCTCATGCACCGGCCTGAGCCCTCTTGGGGGAAGCCATCTCAGCAACAAGCCCAGGAATGGCGGCCCGCCCTGTCGAGCTGGGCCTGGCCAGCGCTTTGCCAGCACTATCTCATTTAATTCTCACGTCAGCCCTGGGGTGGCATCGTCAGCCCAGTTTAGTGATGGGAAACCGTGGCCCAGAGAGGTGAGTGTTTCGAGGAGATGAGGGGAGGATTCGGGGAGAACAGAAGTGAGGGGCCAGGGCTGCACCTGGGGTCGCACTGGGTCAGCGGACGACAGGTCCTGGGGGAAGGAGGAGGACGACTCGTGGACACAAACACTGAACGATGACACAAAACACCCTCCGTGCCCCGGGACAGCCACAGCCAGTGTTCCAGGACGAAAGGAAGGACGCGATGGCCCTTCATGGGGAGTGAGTGAGTGTGTGTGTGAGCTCACTCGTGTGGTCGTGGTGGGTGTGGAGTCGGTGCAGCCAGCCCAGTGCGGGAGGGAGTCTGTCACTCAGTGTGTGGAGGGGGCGGTGGGCCCTGTGCCTGGTGAGTGGAGGGGTGGTGGCTGGTGCCTCTGCCATGTGCGAGCTGCATGTGGCTCTCAGAGCCCCTGGGGCTGCCAGGTGGGCGCGTGGATGGGTGGGGAGCCTTGCTCAGCCCCTCGCCCTTCCCCCACTGTGCTGCAACCCCCCCCCCCCATTTGACAGGCCTAAGGGATCCAGAGGCCTGGGGGGCGAGGGCTAGAGGGGATTGGGGCTGGAGGGAGGAGGGGCCGGGAGATCAGCAGGGTCTGGAGGGGGCTGGGGGTGAGAAAGAGGGTGGGGTGCTGGAGGTTGGTGGGGAGGCGAGGCCCGCTGGGGGGCCCTGGATTTCCCAGTGAGATGAAAAGTGCCCGCGAGGCTCTCTCTGCCGCCTCTGCTCCCTCCCTGATTGGCAGGGCGTTTTGATCATCTTCACGGCCCTGAGCTGCGGGAGGGGCCCACGGGTGAGCAGCGGTGAGGGAGGAGGAGGAGGCGGGAAGCACAGACAGCGGGCGAGAGGCAGACAGACAGAGAGCTCAGACTGCAGGCGGCGCGTGGGAGAGGCAGCCTCGGCCGCACCTGCTCCCTGCCAGGCACGGCCAGCTAGTCCTCCCAGCGGACCAAGAAGTGGTGCCCAGTTGCCCTGGGGAAACTGAGGCCCAGGGTGGGCAGGTTGTCCCTCAACCAACCAGTCTGAGCTGGGATTACAGAGCCCATGGTTTTGTGGGGGGAGAGAGGGGGGGAAGGGGTGCAGGGGAGGGGACGTGTGGTCTGGACCTTTAGGCTGAAGACGTGCACTGGCCTGCCAGGTCCCCATTCCTGGGGACTCCCAGACAGAGGATGGGGGCTGGCGGGGGGCAGGAGCCCTCAGTTCCAGGCTCTGCCCCTCGAGGCCTCGCTGTGTGTCCTGGGCGAGTCGCTGCTCTCCTGAGGGCCTCAGTCTCCACCTGTGGAAGGGAGGCGGCCCTGGACAGACCATCGGCCCTATTTCTTTCGGCCTTTGTGACTTGAACCCCATGAGACCCACCTCCCCAGCATTAACGGGGTGCTGAGTGGGTGCAGCTAAGCTCCCTGCCCAGGACTGTCCCTCAGCTGCTGTGGCACCTTGGGCAACTCTCTCAAGCTCTCTATGCCTCAGTTTCCCCCTGCTCCAAAGGGGGCTTGAAACAGACCTGTCTGGCCAGGCCTGGCACGGAGTAGCCAGATGAGCGCGGCCCCCCTTCCCCTCCCCACCCACCGCTCCCGCAGTTCTTGAAGCCTCTGCAGGCCCCACGGGCTCTGATGAAAGGTTCATTTTCCTTTCATTGTGCAGGTGACAAATTCTGCCGCCAAGAATCACTTGTGAAAAAATCAACAGTGAAGCCCAGCGGCTCCCAGGCCCGCTGGAGAAATCTGAGTGGATTTCTAGAGGAGCAGGGTGGAAAAAACCCAGGGGTGGCTGTGGGATCTGGAGGCCGGGGACCAGGGCAGGACAACAGTGTGCTGGCCTGGACAGAGCTGGCACCGCAGGGGGAGGGGCCCTGCCCTTCTCATCATGAAGGGGCCTCGCCCAGGCCTGACCCTCCCTCTCCCCACCCCCATAAGGAGATGGGAGGTGGCCCTCCAGGCAGTGGGAATGGCCTGAGTAAACTAAACTGGGACATACGAGGATGCTGGGGAGGCAGGCCTGGCTAGAGGGGAGGATAGAGAACGGGGAGGGATGCGCGAGGAAGAGAGAAGGAGGCTGGTCCTGTTCTGAAGGGCTTGAAGGGCCTGGCAGCCGGGAGCTCTGGCTCCTTTGGAGGGCAGTGAGGAGCCACAGAAGGTTTTGGAGCAGGAGGTGGACTTGAAGGAGCTCTGCTGCACTGTCCTCTCTGGGCCCCTTCAGGAGGGGCCTTCAGGGGAAGACTCAGTCAGCCTCCCAGGACCCAGGCCTGCATCCTCTCTTGGGGTGGGGCTGGGGAGGGCACGGAGCCATGGGGCAGAGGCAGAGATGCCGGGGAGGCATCACCCACCACAGATGCAGTGCCACCTGTGTGCCACGTTACCTCGGGGCCCCCCCAGGGTGACGGAGGCCGAGAGTGCCAGCCTGGCTTGGTCTAGGGCCATCCGACTACAGAACCACAGGAACAGCACTGGGCAGGGAACTATCCGGGTGGGAGTTCCCCTAACGGTCTCATCGGAGCCTCTTCCTCGTTCCCAGGGAGGGCTCTGAGCTCACCGGCCCATTCACAGAGGAAACCGAGGTTCAGAATTGTCAAAGCTTAGAGGTCACCAAAGAGACCAGGATCTCTGGCTGCCGGCCCAGTGCTTGGCACCTAGTAGGTGCTTAACGAGTAGATGAGAGTTAGGATCAGAACCCGCTCTTTAGACTGCAGAATCAGGGCTCTTCAGACGGCACCAAGGAGCTTTCTCTGAGCTGGCACTGCTGTCAGACGGCATGAAAACCCCAGAAATAGAACCATCTGGGAGATGCTCCACCATCTTGGAAACATGGCCAGGAGAGGGAAAGTGACTCGCCCGAGGCCACACTGTGGCAGAGCAGGGACCAAGACCCAGATCTTCAGACGTCCCCTTCCCCACCCCGGCCGGGCCCAGGCTGGGCAGGAAGCGAGGGCACCACCTGGCTGGGAGGAGCCCGCCCGGGCTCCAAAGCTGGACCACAGGCCCCAGGCTGGGCAGGGAGGGAGGACAGGCGCCATGGCAACCAGCCACAGGGGTGGGAGGACAGCAGTTGGGGGGGAGGGCAGAGCCCCCTTCAGCTCCTGGGGGGGCCCCAGCCAGAGCCAGAGTCCTCAGAGGCAGGCCCGGCCCACTCCAGGCCTCCACTCCGTCCTCTCCTCGCAGCCCTATCATCCACTCAGCCCCAAAATGCCATTTATATCACTGCCTCCGGCTATCTGGGCTATCTGTCGGAGAGGCCGGTGGGTTTCTCTCAGGCTCCTTCACCTCTCTCCCCATGTGTCTCCATCCTCGCCTTGCTCCCTCCCTCTCTCCATCTATTCTTGTTGCGTTCAGATTTTAGCTTCAGACAGATGCGGTGTCAAGGTCCCAGGCACTCCTGTGCCGTGTGACCTTTGTGGAGCCACAGCCATTTGTCCATTGCCTTGGCCGGCCCCCCCTTTTCTCATCTGTGCGACGGGGTTGACACCTGCGGTGCCGGCCTCTCGCGGTTCACTGTGCCTGCCGAGGCCCCGAGCATCCAGCAGGCGCTTACTCTGTGGTGGCCACCAGACGGTGATGGGGTTTGTGATAGAATCATTGGACTCCCAGCGCCTTGCCGCCCACCTGCCGCCTGCCACCCGCCACCTGCCGGCCGCTCCCATCACTGCGGGGGAGGCCGGGTAGGCTCCCCACCCCCTGCTATTCTCAGAGCCTTCCAGGAGGTTCCGAGCAGCTTCTCACCGGATATTTGGCTTTTTCTTGGAGCTTGCTCTGCCCCTCCTCTGTGAGGATGTTCTCAGGTGGCCAGGGGTGGAGAAGGGAAGGAGGGCAGACTCTCCAGGCGCTTGCTGACAATTAGACAGAGGAGGGGGTCCCAGTCCAGGCAGGACTCGGCCCGGGCGGTGCCTGTGTCCAGCTCCCCGGTGCTGGGCTGGGCTGAAATGCAGCAGAAGAGGCCTGGGAGTGGGTCGTAGTCCCACCTACCGTAGCCGAGGTCATGTGACTGTGGGGGTCTCTGAGCCTTTGTGGCCTCAGTCTCCTCTCCCGGAAAATGGGCCTGATGGTCCACGGCCTGCCTCCCGAGGAAGGGAAAAGCCTGCGGAGCTGCAGACGGAGATGCAGACGAGGCGGCACTGCCTGGTGGCGGCGCTGGCTGGCAGGACCCCCAGGCTCTCTCGAGCTCCTCGCTGGGCCCTGAGTTTCTCCTGTTCTCCACCCACCCTGAGGCCCGGGCAGGCCCCAGACGTGAGGAGAGGGGCGGATCTGGGCAGCCCCTCCACCAGCCTGGCTCAAGGCAGCCCCACAGAGCTCGTCCCCCACCCGTCCCTGTAGCAGCCCCTGGCAGCCCTGCCAGGTAGGGGTCGACCACTTTTTTGGTGGTTGTATTTAAAAAAAAATTGTTGTAAAATATACATAACATAAAATTTACCATCTTAACCATTTTTAAGGGTACAGTTCTGTAGCACTAAGCACATTCACAATGTCGCACAACTGTCGCCACCATCCATCTCCAGAACGTTTTCATCTTCCCAAACAGAAACTCTGTGCCTGCTCCCCATCCCCCCGCCCCCTCTGGTAACCGCCATCCTACTTTGTCTCTACGAATTTGCCTCATATAAGTGGAATTAAACATCTGTCCTTTTGTGTCTGGCTTATTTCACTTAGCATAATCGGATGACCTCTTTTAACAGATGAGTAAACTGAGGCACAGAGAGACTACGGGGCTTGCCCAGGCTGCGTGCCCTCTCTCACATCCTTTCTGCCTCCTCTCTCCTGTTCCCCACTTCCCTGTGAGTGTCCCCGTTCGCCTGTCATGCCCCCATTTCACCGAGGAAGAGAGAGAGGAGGCAGGAGCCCGAGGTCCTGAGGGGCTGAAGGACTCTGAGCGTGGTGCTCATACACTCGGGACCACCCTGCTCTGCCGGGAGTGGGGGCTGGGCCAGTCCCAGGGCTTGATGGGGAACAGGCCAGGGACCGCCACGCCCCTTGCAGGCCCAGTGACTCTTTTCCAAGGCTGACCTGGTGACCAGACCCTGTGGGTTGCCTCAGGCTGCGCTGACATCACCCCTTCCCGGGGCTCTCCGGGTCAGAGAGGGGACAGGCTGGCAGTTAGCAACATGGCCCGAGGGGCCGCCCAGGGCAGAGAAGAGCCTGATCCGCCTCCGGGTGACCCACACAGCCCCGTCCCCCTCCCTGGCCTCCCAGGCTCCGAGTGTGCGTGCTTGGAGAGGGCCAAGGTGCCTGGGAAGCTTTTAGGAATGGGGAAAAACATTTATTGCCTCCCTGCGTGAGCTCGGGGACATAAGCAAGTCAGGTGGCAAGATTTCCTCCGGGCGCCACTCATTTTCTTCATCTAACTCTTAAAGCGTTTTGGGATCCAGGGCAGTCCATGTGTCCACCTGCAAACCCTGCTAACCACTGAGCTTTCTATAGATTCATTCATTCATTCATTTGTTCAGCAAGGATTGACTGAGAATGGCTGTGCGCAGGACAAAGGGGCCCCAGTCGCCTGGAGTCCCTGAGCTTGCCGTCAGACAGCCAAGCCCAACATGCATCAAAGACTCAGATGGTGAGCAACCTCAGGCAGCGCCCAGGGCTCTGAGGGAGGAGTCAGGGCCTCGTGGGGACCATGAAGCAAGCGGATTAAGACTGGGAGATGGAGGGCGGCTTCCCTGAGAGGCTGCTGAGCTGAGGGGTACGGACCAGCCAGGCAGAGAACTCCAGGAAGAGCGTCCCCGGCAGAGGAAACAGCACGTGAAATGGCCCAGAGGCGCGAAAGAACTCGGTGAGCATGGGGACCTGGAGGGGCTCAGGGAGCGGCAGCCGCAGTGAGTGGGGGGCTGGGGGCTGGGGCTGGACGCTCAAGACTCAGCAGAGGGGATGGTTACACAGGGTGACTAGAGGAGTCAGAGGGGACAACAGAGGGATTCCCCTGGGCCAGGGGACAGAGGGAGGGGGTGGTAATACTGGAGTCCAAGGACCGTGACGGTGGACCCAGGCCGAGCATTTCCAGTGGGAGCTGGAGCCCGGGAGGGGCGGGAGCCAGGCCCAAGGCAGACGGAGGAGAAATGCCCGGTTTCTCCCTTCCTCCCGCCCTCCCGGCTCCCAGCGGAGCCTCCCATTGGCTGAATCCAGCTGGAGCCCAGGAAACACCGTGTGGCCTTGGACAAGTCTCTGGGGCCCTCTGAGCCTCAGTTTCTTCATCTGTTAAAGGGCCCATCACCCCGACTTTGCAGGTCTGTGTAAAGGCTGGAGTTAAAGGCAGTGGCTGTTCTTCTCCTGGGCCCTAGTGGCCCTGGCAGCCCTGAGTGTGGCCTGGACCCTGCGGGACCCTCTTCTGCTCAAAGTTTGACCTGCAGAGCCTGCTGTCTCTGCCCCTTCAGTGGTCACCCTGGCCCAGGGGTCCTGGAGACTCAGAGATGGGCCAGACTCTGGCCTCTACGTCTTCAGCCCTGGGCGGGGCTATGCTCTCACAAAAGGCTGCAGGTTAGCACTTTTAGCCCCCAGAATGGAAGGGGGAGGGCGGGTGGGGCAGCGGGGTGGCATTTCAGAAAGGCCTTCTGGGAGGGGAGGCTGTGCCGTCTCGGGCAGGGGACGCATACAACGCATTGCAGGAACAAGGAATAAGCTGGTTTGTGTGGGGACAGGGACCGTGTAGACAGGACTGCAGATGATGTGAGGGAGCCCAGTGGAGCCGGGTCCGAAGGGCCTTGAATGCCAGGCTAAGTGGTTTGACTTGACCTTCAGGGCTGTGGGAGTCACTAATGGTTCTTGAGAGAGGGAGATGTGCACTGGGAAAGCCCTGTTGAGACCCAGCCCGGTGTCAGGGCCTTTCCCCTGCATTGGGGGCAGTGGCCTGGAAGGAGGGGGCTGGAGACAGGGAGAACAGCGAGGAGGTCTTTCTAGGGGGTCCCAAGACCAAGTCCCCTGGGCTCCCAGCCAGTCCCACTCCTTACACTGGCTTTCTGGGGGTTAGGGTGACCCCTCCCCTCTGCCCTGGAGCCCTGGGAGATGCTGCTGTCTAGATTCTGAAAAGGTTCCTAGTTCTGAGCCAGCCCCCTCCCCGCCCCCCCCGGCCTGCCCTGAGGCCACACTGGCCACACATCAGACTGGCCCGGGCACGGATCACCTGTTGCCCTCTCTGGGCACATTCTTGCCCAGGCAGGCCATGGAGAGGAGAGCTGGAGGAGGCTGGGGAGGGGAGGGAGGGCGAGGGGCCAGGGCTCTGCAGTGGGCGGCGGGATGGTCCTTGCGATGCTGTGACAGGTGTGTGTACGCTGGGGGTGTATGTCTTGGAAGGGGTCGTACAGGGCACTCTAGTGGTCCACTGGCGGCTGCACCAGCTGTTGGTACTGTCCCTCCCACCCCTTCATCACCCATCAGAGGTTAAACCGGGACTCCGCAAGCTGGCTGAGGGGAAGATCGCTGTGGTCGGGCTGGGAACCCCCTGCTCAGTGGCATCCTGGGGGCTGGCGGAGGCGCAGCTGCCCGGGTCCCTTCCCAGCTCCTCTGAGGCCACTCCACTGTCACAGGTCCTCGCCACGCTGGGAGGCTGGCAGGCGAGAGGCCGGGGCCAGCGGCCGCAGGGGCTTCAGCACGAGGAGGGGCTACGGGGGTGGGGAGGGGTGGGCGAGGAGAAGTGCGGGAGAAAGGGGGACAGAAGCTGAGAGCTGGCAGCGCCGGGCAAAGCAGGACGCTGACTGAAACTTCCCTGTCAGCTTCACCCGATTATCTCGCTTAATCCTCACAGCGCCTCCTGGTACTGGTATTATTTCTAAAGTTTAGTTTTGTAAATATTTGTGTTTTACTTAATCTATTCGTTGGAATTGCTTATGCCTTTATATATTTCAATATTTAAAAAGTAAGTCTCCTCGTCCCTTCCCCCAGGGACCAGGCTCCCCTCTCTGGAGGCAGCCCGCTTCACCTGCAGCTTGGCTTTCCTTCCAGGGTGTCTGCGGAGAGACAAGCCAACATCTGCATCGGAAAGCAAATAGACGCACACGTTTCCCTCCGTTTAACCCATTAAAGGCCGGCATTCCATCACCTGGGTCTTGTGATTTTTTTCCCACTTAAATCTGTTTTATGCGGGAGGCCACTACTAAGGCTCAGAGAGGTTAAGACACTCGTCTAGGGTCGCACAGCAGGGATGGAGAGGTGGGCAGCGAACGCGGTAAACCAGTAGGGGCGGATGGGGGCGGATGGGGGCCCGGGGGAGAGGCTCACTTTCTGGGAAGCGAGGCGGGAGGAGGAGAGGAGCTTTCCAGGAGGCGGTAGGCGAGCGGAGGCGCGAGGTGGGGGGAAGGGGGACAGCAGAGCCGGGAGGCGCGAGCCGGGCGGGAGGGGGAAGCGGTGGAGACGCTGGGGCGGGCGAGTCTCTGTCTCCTGCCGCCTCCGCTCCGGCGGGTGCGGGCGGTGCGGGCGGTGCGGGGGGTGCGGGCGCCTTCCTGGATGTCCTCCTCCGCCCCCTTCCAAATTCCCCTCCAGCAGCCGGTCCTCGGCCCCCCACCCACCCCATCCGCAGCCTCTCAATCAGGTCTGGAAACCGGCGGAGAGCAACTCATTCCAGCTCTGCTCGGCCGTCTGACCTGACCTCGGAGGAGCCCCCTGTAAAATGGGGGTGTAGTGGGGTGGGGCGCGGGAAGGGGACGAGATGAATAAGGACTTTCGCCCTCGGAGCTTCTGGGGCCGCTCTCTGTGTGGACACCGCCCCGCCGCGATTGGGTGTGGTACCCCCTCCTCGCCCTCGCTCGGTGCGCTCGCGCTCCTCCACCCCCCTGACCTGGAGGAGGGGCGGCCCCGAGCGTGGGGCCCTCCCGACGCCGCCGCGCGCCCCCGCTGTGCACTAGGCTCAGGTCGGGCCCGCAGCCCGGGAGGGGTGAGCCGCCTCCGCGAGCCCGAGCTGTAATGCGGCCCCCGCGGCGCCCGGGAGCCTGTGCACCTCCCGGTCCCAGAGAGCGTGGCCGCCACTGACCGACTCTGGATTCGAATCCCGACAGAGCCGTTCCTCCCTGCGGGGCCCCTGCGAGAGACAGTTGTCCGAGCCTCACTTCGCTCCTCTATAAGGGGAGCAGGGGAGAGACCAAGAGAGCCTGTCTTAGGACGGCTGAGACAGAAAGGAGTAATCCAGGCCGACTGCTCAGCTCAGTGCCTGGACTTAGGGAATGCTCAATAAAGGGCTGCCAGAATGATGATGATGGGGATGACGATGGGGATGATGATGGGGGGATGACGATGGGGATGATGATGATGGGCATGATGATGGGGGATGATGGTGGGGATGATGATGGGGGATGATGGAGATGATCATGGAGATGATGGGGGATGATGAGGATGATGATGAGGATGATGATGGGGATGATGATGATGGGGATGATGATGATGGGGATGATGATGGGGATGATGATGATGGAGATGATGATGATTGGGATGATGATGGGGATGATGATGATGGGGATGATGATGATGGGGATGATGATGATGGGGATGACGATGATTGGGATGATGATGGTGGAGATGATGATGGGGATGATGATGGAGATGATGATTCCAGCTCGCTTGGCTGGAGGATTCTGGAGCCAGAATGGACTTTGGAGAGACGGCATGCAAATCCTCAGTCCCATTTTTTTACATTCAGGGATGGCAGAGTAACTTGCTCAAGGTCTACAACCAAAGTTGGGGAGGGAATGTAGTTCCCAAGTGGAAATTTGAGGGTTCTTGGCTCTGGACCACTCAGCAAGCCTTCCTCTCCTGACAGCGGGTGCCACACCTGAGCCCCCTTCACTCTTTCTCTTTGCCTTTCCATGAAGCGTCTAAACTGGAAGGGCTGTTTGGTCATTGGGCCTAACTCTCTGGCGGGCTGTGTGACCGTGAGCTACACAGCCACCCTCTCTGGGCCCACATTCGCACCTGTCAACTGAGGGGGCTGGACTAGTCTAGCAGTTCCCAACCCTAGCAGCATCTTAGAGCCGCAATTGTAGAGCCTTTTAAACAATGCCACCCCTGGACCCCTTGTCAGACGTGGTAAGCCAGCACCTCCAGGATCTGAGCTGGGGAATCCGCAGCTGCTGAGTCCTGGCCCCAGATCCGTGCCTCAAGGCACAGACCAAAGGGGCCTTGAAGCTCATGGCTCTGAGCCCCTCCTCAGCCCTCTCCTCGGGCAGATCCAGAGAGGGGAGGTCATCTGCCCTCCAGTCTCTTCTCTCGCTGGGCCCCCTGCCCAGCCTTCTGCCCATTTTCTGGATTGAGATAAGCATCTAAGGACCAGACCAAGCTGGGGGGAGTGGGGGCCGGCAGCTGCAACCCTCGTGCGGCTGACTGCCCTTGTGCCCTTGTCATCTGCCTTGGCCCCAGCGCTGGGGGCCCCACCTCCCTTTCCTGAGCCCACAGTCATGGGAGTCCCTTGGGTGCTCCTTGGACATTTCAAGTGCCCGCAGGGTCCCCTGCCCCGGGGGAACCCAGGAAGGCAGGGGTGGCAGTGGGGTGTGTGGAGGAGACAGGCGTGCAAGAAGCAGGCTCAGGAGCGGCTTGTGTTCTGGTCCCGGCTCCTTGCAGGACGGACGGTTTGGGAGAGGAACTGATTGAAATGTATTTTTCATTTCGGGAAATTGAAGTGCTCCACTTGAGAGCATGGCGGCGATTAGTGTTTAATCAGGGGAGGGTAGAGCCCAGGGAACCGTTCCCAGCGCACAGCACGGGAGGGTGCACTGATTATCAGCCCCGCTTCCTCCTGGGGGGTGGGGGGGCTCATCCCTCCCCCTCCCAGGACAGATTAAAGATGTAATTTGATGAATCAATTTGTTTTCTGGAGGAGGGAAGAAGGAAGCAGAAAGATGATCATAGCTGGAATCAAGTTGTCCCGTCATGTCTGCAGGAGCCATTAGGAAGGGGACAGGGGGAGGACACAGGTCCAGTAGAGGAGGTCCCAGTGTCCTCCTTCAGGTGTCGCCCCGATGCAGTGGCCGCTGAGGTCTCGCAGACCTGAGTTCAAATCCTGGTCCTGGCGTTTATCAGCTGTGTGACCAAGAGAAATCCACTTAACCTCCCTGGGCCTCCACTGCCTCATCTCCAAGAGGGAGACAGCCTAGCAGGGTGGCTGGGCTAACATTTGTAAATGTGCCTCATGCAGTGTCTGGCTCACAGGAGGTGCTCAGTAAAGGTGACCGGAGGGAGAACGCTGGGTTTGGAGCGGGGCTGGCAGGGAGGAGAAGGAAGCTGGAGTCAGGTTGGGTGGGGCTGAGACAGTTGACCCCTGCTGAACTGGGCTTGGGTGCTGGGCTGGATGGTTCTCTGTGCAGGATCCTTTGGGTCCCAGCAGACAGGATACAGTAATGGGGGACTTCTAGGCAGAGGGCAAAAGTTCCAACTATGGGCAGCAGGACCAGCTGCGTGGTGCCAGGACCCCATCCTGAGGAGCGAAAATACCCTTTTCCTTCCTCCTGGAGGGCTCCCCATCGCCTGAACCAGGTCGGGTCCCCCAGCACATCTCAACAGCCCCTTGACTCCCCGTCTATAGCCCTGTGGGCGCCGATGGGGCCATATGTGGTGGTGGGCGCCTGGTGTGCCAGAAACACAGCAGGTCCTCGGTCGCTGCTGAGCACTGCGGAGGGCTGGGCAGCGTGGCACAGGGTGACAGGGTCTGGCTGCAGCAGAGAGGGCTCAGGCCTCAATCAGACAGACCTGGGTTCGAGTCCTGCCTCTTCCTCACTGCATTGAGGGGCAGGTTGCTCTAAATCTCATCTCAATTTACATTTTCCTGGGCTGGCGTTAGTAACAGTGGCACTTGCCCCTGCCTCCTCCTAGCGAGGGTGCCCTGAAGGAGCCTTAGCTTGGCTCCGAGGGACGGTTTTAGGCACTGTGAGGGGACAACGGGGATAGAGAGAGGCCTCTCTCTGTTTACCAAGGACGAGCCACATGCCAGGCCCTGTGCCGAGGTCTCCACGCCCTTCCTTTGACTCCATCACTCCCCTACAAGACAGTGGTAATTATTCCCATTTTCCAGACAGAGACACTGAGGCTCAGAGAGGTTACCTGACTTGCTCAGGCTCACCAGCGAGGAGCCAGCTGTTGAACTTGGGGCTCTCTGACCGAGTCTGGGCTCTGTCCAATCTGGCTGGCACTGTGGGAGGATGGGGGACCACGGGTGGAGGCTGCAGCCTGGTGTGGGTGGGCAGACCCATTGATCTTGGCTAATGGTCCCTGGTGGGCCTGGCACTGGAAGTGTCAGGTGCAGAAGTAGTGGGAAGGCGGGTGCTGGCTGTGGTGGGGCCAAGAGCTCCTCTGCCGCCCTTTCCTGCTCCCACCCCTCTAGCCAGGAAGGAGCGGGTGGGAGGTGATGGCTCAGGGAGGGCGTATGTGCCCAGCTCCCACCGGCTTTCCAGCTGGGTCTCAGCTTTCCCTTCTGCACAGTGGGCTGATGATTGCCACCTCTCAGGTCTGTCCTGAGCACTGAGGGTGGTAACATATGGGGATAAACCTTGTAAAAATTGGGAGGCCAGCTGGAGTAGCCACTCCCCTCCTCCAAGAAAACGCTCTCTCTTTGGGGATCCCAGGGTCTTGAGAATGCAGGCAGGTGCTCCCAGATTATGCCAGGCCCCCGCTTCTCTCCCCCAGAGCAGTCCTAGGTGAGGGACCTGCCCAGCCTGGCCTGAGTGGGTGGGTGGCAGCGCTGGCTCAGCCAAGAAGTGCCTGCCTCCGATTGGAGGCTGGTTTCCATGGCGACCGATTGATTGCCCGAGCTGCAGAGACTCAAGGGGAATGAGCAATGGGCCTTTCTCCCTCGCTGGGCAGCTCAGGCTTGGCCTGGAGACAGCAACGACTCCTCTCAGGGCTGAGGGGCCCCCTGGGAACAGGACGGACCTCAGCTCAGCCCAGGAGCCACTGTGGGGCACCTGCTCTGTGGGCCAGTGGGACGGGAGGAGGGGAGCTCTGCCTTTGGGAAGCACCTGCTGGAGGAGAATGAAGCTACTGGGACTCCAGCCTGGCCCAGCAGAGTCCCAAGCTCACGAGCTTAACCACGAGGCTATGAAGCTTCCCTGTGAAGTTTG